CTGCTCCTGTCAATCACTGCCCGAATTACACTTCCCCCGCCATTGGATCCCGTGCTCCCCCTCACGTGATCCTGTCAACTTTGTCTCATCAATCGTCATTAGCACGTCCATTAGTAACCATGGTCCAGGGGAACCATACTGTCCCCATATCCCTCCGTATTGTCTTTACATCAGTGATCTCTCATTATTTGTGACACAGAATTTATTTCCGGGAGGCAAATCCTCACAGATATTATCCTCCCTTTTGACTTGTCATTTTACTCTCAGAAATCCACAGCTTGATATACGAAGGCATACAGCCAAGGCAAGGCAGTGTTCAATCCCTAATGCTGCTGTACAATTTGTATTGTATACTGCTTAATTCTTAAATCGATAGATTACCTATATATAACAACAGTTTCAGTCTGTATCACATACAAATACAATTGGATGACAAGCAGCTTTACAATAAACACGTAAAGTATGTAGATTGTAGTAGATATAAAGTTATAGCCATTTTCAATCCACCAATGGACGAAGGCCTCCCCATGCCATATCGTTGATCAGTGTGGGTTGGTGAAGGTGGTGAGGGAAGGGTGGTGGGGAGACTAGGACCCGGTTGATTGTGGCCAGGAATTGAACTCGGGTCGCAGGGTTGATGGTGCAGCACACTAACAACCGCAACACAGCTCCACCCGGGGTAATAAGAGTTTTTGGTGGTGCAACGGTGTTTAAGTGGTTCGCACATGGCTCTAAATTAAGTGGGAATACTATGTATTGTCATCCTGCTGATGAGTGAAATAAGGTTTTTTGGAATAACTTAAGGATATATTTTTGTCCAGCATATCAAATGTTTTAATAACTTTTATTGAAATTTGCTGACCCGACCCTCTTGGACATCTATGAAAAAGAGCTTCATAGCTCACCAGATTTATCCAGTCTAAATAAAGTTTCGGATTCTAATGCATTGAATTTAACTGAATATAAAGGTAAATCAGAAATCCGGTGTAATGACTGGGAATATGGCTACGTTTAAAAATGTTACAAGATATGTTCCGTCTTTAAATTACCTTCATTTTTTGAAAATGGCTTTAACATGTGACTACATTTATTTTCAGGCAAATGTAACGTTAATAAGCATACAATCCAGGGAGGTCGCCAGTTCGATCTTCTGGCGTGGATGAATAAATGATGACTGCAAGTTTCTGAAATCCCTCCCCACGGCTTCTGGAGGCGCCACAGTGGCGAGATGTTAACTCCCTCGCCTGGTATGAAGGATGTCGTGGCTTCTATTCTGACCCCGATGTCTATATATTTGGAGTTTGCATGTTCTCCCCATGATAGTGTGGATTTTTCTCTGGCCCTCCGGTTTTTCCCTCCACATTTAGAAAAATGTGTTTAGAGTGTTTGGCTGCTGTACATTTCGTCGAGCTATCATTTATGGCTAGGTCGCTTCTATCTAGCTCAGTGGGCCTTATCTGGTAAAATAAAAATATAGTTTATAGTCTATCCACCCAGCAGTGTCATGGGGTTCACTGCAGTTCGTCTAACAGGAGGCCACACGTGGTGGCTGGAAATAACGGGGGGTACCGCCGCCTCTTCCAAGACGTCTGTCCAGCTTGGAAGAGTAGGCCAAATATCCTCTGGAAGGGTTGGCTGAAGTTCTCCCGACACTCCGGAGGCTCGTCTACTTTGAGTGGCGAAAGAAAACGATTGTAGGGTTGCACCTTCATATGATTTGGCCAAGACAGATATGTGAATTAATGAAAACAATATTCAATCAAGTGATCATGTTTCTTGAAACCAAAAATAAGCTGACAAGATTCGGTTTGGTCATTTAGCCTTGCACAATTGTGATAGGTAATCCAGCAAGGGCAGGGAGTGGGTTAAATGTATTCTAAAACATTGTGATGTAAATCATACGCTCGCAACATTCAAATAATCTAAATTTTCTACAAATATTCCTGTGCAGACATGCACGCCACGTGTACAATGCATGAAAACCCCTCAGTTGCTTTTTTGTTAGACTGCATGGAGAGCCTGGAGCTGTTGGATTCATATACGAACTACCCACCGAGTGCTTTCTCTGACAACCTCTCCCTGCTTTCATTAAACTTTTGTTTGTTAAATAACGGTAAAGATGCCCCCAAACTGCCAATGCCTGCCCAAAAGCCACTTCAAGACGCTGCTCAATGTCATTAAAAAAAGGAGCAGCGACATTTTATTTCGCCTTCATAGAATTCCTTTGTCAGGCCTTCAAAGACGACCTCCATTTGGCAAAAAAATCCCTCGCCTTAAAACCGTTCACCTACTCTAAATCTTAGATCACGTGTTTGCCCCCATGTCTAGTCCACATTATTTCTGCGACTTTCCTGGCTTCCAAAAACACAGTGGGGGTTTTGGCAGCGCATGTGCATTTTTTTTCTATGATCATTTAAGGTCTCTAGTCAGGGGCAAGTGCAGCAATGAAAATGAAATATATGAACGTACAGACAAAACAGATGGACAGAAAATGCAATAAAATTAAAAAAAACAAACACCGCTGATATAGATTCATATAGAAGGACCACTGTTTCCATTCATTAAATGTTATTTTATCATGCAATTAAACACGTGTTTAATTATTTCATTAAAACGTGATTGTAGTTGGCTTGCATGCATCCTGGTTCATAGTCATTAGTTTAAGATATACTCGAGGGGACCTATGATTCACCACCACCCACAAACCTCCAGCAATTTAATTGTCACGATTCACGGACTGCCATTTGGTTCAACGGTTATATTTTTGTTAAATTTTTTACATTTCGATGTCATTGTTTCTCCTTTTTCCGTCTTGTTCCTTCGGTTGTATATATTTTGGGAGTCAATGGTTAACATGACTCTATCATATCATTTTCATAAAAAAAGCATATTTATACTTACACATATTATTTTTATGCATATGTCATGATCTTTTAGTATGTATGTGAATAATTTTGTTTTACCCATAGGGAGCAGGTAGGTGGGTAGATGGGTAGATGCCTAGGTAAGTAGATTATAGCAAATTAGTTGCCAATACTGCATTGGCAGTGGTACACAAGCACAAATAACAGAAACGCAACACATTAAGTATCATTAACACCGCCTTAAATGTGTTAGGCAATAGCCCAGCTTCACAGCACATAGAGTCGCCAGAGAGGTAGGATTGTTGAGCCCTTAAGGAGCTAATCTGTCAAATTATTTAATGGATTCATAAGTTTTTAAAGTGCCTGGCACAGGATTGAGTTCAATAGTTATCAGTCGGAGCATGTCAGTGATCACCTACGAAAACCATAATTAGCGTAGGTACTAAAATCCAGTTTACTAAACAAGTAAACAAGAAATAAATGTGCCACGTTCATCTGTTAACACTGCTTTCTAACAACAAACAGTGCACGAGGCTCATGGTTCATGCAACTGTCCATCTTCAGATTTGAAAGAGGCCAAAAATATTCGCTGACCCATCACAGAATACCACATTTCACAGTGCCAGCCAACTTTTACCTATGTGTTTTTTCATTTCTTAGTTGTTTGATAAGTAGGTCAATAGCTGTTATTTTAACCAAGTATGAGCCCATAGAGGCTGCATGTCTGTTTTGAAGGCAAGATTAGAGGGAATGCCATTTCAATTTAGCATGCTTCTCCATTTCGGCAAAACAACTAAATGCAGTGCAGAAAGCTAATATATGAAAATCTATCCATTGAGCCAACTGTTATCTGTAACTCAAGCACAATTGAAACACATTTTTTTACAAAATGAAGGCTTTTTAGAAATATCTAGAATAATCTTGGAGCAGTTTGGCAATTCGCTTGATAATTTCCCCAACGATGCTCTAATTTGTTAGTTTTTTTCACGAGCCTGTTATTCTTTAAATTCTCAGATATGCAGAAGATTATTTTTTTAAATGAAACTCAGAATTAGCACAAATAAGTAATAAAAATGGTATGTACCAGTAGAGTGCCCAATGTGTTTTAAGGGTTTTAATTTACCATCAAGTTTCCAAGCCAACCTTGCCAATTAGGTCACGAATGGCCAAGTGTGTTTTGGGGTACTTAAATATTCAGTCGCCGCATTTTTACGACCGCTGCTCTTGAGAGTCCACTGCCGCTTTGAGCTTGTAGACGAACCTAATCTACTTTGACAAATTATGCACGGCTTCAGTGTGTGCATATGCTGTGATATAACTCCCATGCCATGGTTTTCTCTCGACAGTGGCAAATACAATGTTACCTTGGTGATATGTACAAATAATTAACATTACAGCAAGCAAACATGTTCTCTCCTGTAATTTAGTCGGTGGTAAAATTCCACATTCCTATGGCGGTAGTGTAACAACAACTTTTGACTCTCCTACAAAGTGGTTCTTATTTTAACAACCCAGAATGATGACTGGCTGACTTGACTGCAGAGCTGGATTTTTACGATTATGTTTGTCTAGAAATTCAATCGGGCAAGGACTGTAATAAATTTTATTTTCTATGCGGATAGATAGACCTTTGTGTTTAAATCCTATTCTACGCTCATCCCGCCCAGGGTAGATAAAATTAGTACCAATTTGTGGGAATTACTACTGCCTACGCTTTCGCTGCTGTGTTGCTCTGATGTCGGAACGTGTGCCATTCCTCGTGACCATCCCGACTCTGCTCTTTGCGCTGCTGGTAGCTTCTCCAGTTTCTAGGATTTCAGTTCCGCCAGAATTTCCCAGCACACGGAGTAAACATGAACACATGGGAACAATCCAAAACAACAACATACACGGGGAGAGAGAGAAGCTTGTGGGAAGTCGGCTAAAGTGGTCAACCCCCGTAGAGTCAGTCACACGTGCTCGCCGTGGGGAAATGCGAGAGAGAGAAAAAAATCCACCACTGGCTTAGGGCCCTTTAAAGGACAATGAGGGACAATCTCGCCACGCTCGCTCTGAGAGCGCGGGGACACAACGTGGTGCGAGCGAGGTGGAGACAGTGGAGGGGCCGGGTGATATTGGATTGACGCGAGCCCTCACCGCAGTTCTCTTCGTCGGCACCATTCCCGCAGTCGACGATGTTGTTGCAGTGCAGTGGCTGTGGCAGGCACACGTCGCTCAGATTCCCGCACGGGAAATGGCCCAGCGGACATTGCCAGGCCACCACACCTGGGAGACGGGGGAAGGGACACAAAGACAAAGATGCCCCTTATAGCACAAACAGACTTTTGGGGGCAAGTGCTGTTAGCGAGTAGCAGCACCTATGAAGGCCGGCACCGCACCCCTCCGCCTTATCTCTCTAGTGACGATGTTTACACACCGCACCAGGTACTCATTTTGAGGCTGTGTCGATCTAAGGGAGGCCCAATACCAGTTCATATAATAGTCACTGGTGTTGGCCAGTGAGTGTGAATCGAACTCGGGTCTCCCCCTACATATATACACGTGCACATTCACACACGTGCACGCACGTGCATAGATGAGTATTCATATAGGCACACACTCGAACACAGCACGCGCATACACGTGGGTGCACGCATATGCACGCACAGAAAAAATACGCACAAAACGCACGTGTAGCGCACGCAAAATCTGTTTCCGTTAATACACGTTCTCATCATCCAACTATTGCCGTCAAGAGAAAGGGAAGCCAGATTTATGTGAAGTTGTTGTAGGGGAAAACCTCTGGATGCGCAGCAGATGAAAACCTCGGGTTTTGTTCGCAGACTCGAATGGAGCCAGTACTGTGACTGAAATAACACAGCGCCAAGACCATCCACGTTCCAGTGGTCGCAAAATCTGATACGACATCAGGAGCCTTCATGCCAGAGCCGGCCCAGCCACTAAGCGACCCTTGCAATTGCAAAGGGCCCCGTGGCCAGCAGAGGGCCACATAGAGTCACTGCGAGCTCGTGGGTGAAAAAAATAATACATCAAAGGGGCCTCCAAACAAATTTTGCTTAGGGCCCCCAAAGGTCTAGGGCCGGTTCTGCTTCATGCCGAACGAAAAGTTATTAAGAAGTGTCCTGGAGCATCTGTGAGCTGGACGCGGAAGGGGACTGGCTCCACCTTTGTTGATGCATTTTTATTAAGGCCAGAAATACTGATTTGTCACGTATGCTGTAGTTTGTTTACTATCCTCATATTCAAATACAGTACATGGGTTTGAAATATAACTCAAAAAAGAAACATGGTCTAATATAGCTTTAGAATGTTTCATTTCCTTTTCTTGGAATGTATTCCTATTTAGATGTGCACTCGCTTTGTTTAAAATCTAGCTGACATATACAATTTTAATATTATTCATATTACAATTATATTTCTTTACGCAGTATCGTTTATAATCTCCATACAATAATATTTAGTTTTTAAGCTTGACAAAAAAAATCTGAAAATCCTCTTTGGATTTAGAATTTTAAATAGAGTATGTATATACACATACCCAGGGAATTTTCAATCGGTTTCAAGGATTTTTGCCACGAACATCGTCCTACTTTGAATGTACGGAAAAGCCTTGCCGAGTAACAACCCACAGCACACAAAGGAGAACACGTAAAAGCTGCGCAGAGGAAAAGTAAATTTGTTTTTATTCAAAGTGGATTTTAAAGCTTTTAAAAATCCTGGTGCATTGGCTAAGATGCGAGTCCACAGTTCAAGTGCCGAGGTCTCTCTGCATGCCTAACGAGCATGGGATGATTATGCTCATATCCCGGACCAGTTGTAAAAACAAAAAAAACTCCACGATCCCATGGCAGGGACCAGTCGTTCCGGAGGACAACCACTGATTTTTCACACAGTGGCATTCCTTACATTGACTCCCCCCCTCCACATCAGAACAACGGAACAAGTCAAGTCTTCACCTGAATTTGAACTCTCCATTTTCTGAATATGATCTGAGCACCCAGACGTATAAATAGGCAGTACAACCGCTCATCCCTACTGGAATACATGCAAGTTTGCCTCGAGTAACTTTCGGCACATGTGCAGATGGCCCAGGCTGATGTTCTATAAGAAGGCAATTTATTCTAAAACTTTAAACATGTCAAAAAGCTATATTGGTGGTGAGCCCACAACAATAAGTGCTGGCAGATGCACGCTATAGCCCAGTATATTGTTATAATTCTAAATAAACTACAGCCAGATAATTTTCAGTACTTGCTGTCCTGGTGGACTCGGACGGCAAGCAAGCATGACAAATAAAGTAAAAAAAGTAATCCAAGACAGGCCATTATGTGAGTATGTACTTTGAATGTGCTGGAAAAATTTAGCTGACCTCTTAATTTTGCACAGAGCAGATAATGAATGTGTGTGGATATAATCAATAAAATAGGTGTTAACCAAATCCTTTTGAGTGTGAGGCTGCTGACCTGCCTCCGACGTGCTATACTATTTTGACAGGTTTGTTAATTATACATCATTAAACAAACAAGGTTATGGCTTTCCACAGTATAATTTGAATCCCCTGCTTCGTTAACTTATCAAACAATTACATTTACAGTTAATTGGCTCATTCGCACTGTGCCAGAGAGTCAGCGTGCCACTGAAAGCAATATTAAATCCAGTCGGTGGGGTTAATTCACTTAGCCAATTATTCTTCCAAGATTCATAAAATCATTACCACTTTGTGTGAAGAGTGTTTCTTCTATTTGAAAACTCACGCCTGGACGTAAGAATGTGAAATGTTCACGAGCTTGTTGTGGGCACTTTTGAGTGTTTGAATTGGAAAAAGCATTTGATATCCAACAACCCGTCGCAGTCAACATCTGATCCCTGGCGTCTACTGTTACTACAACCACCAAACATGCACATATACCATAGTTTCCGAAATACAAGATGCGTTTTTTTTTTACCTGTGTTTTAATGCAAAAGTTGGGGGTAGGTCTTGTAATCCCATAGGTAGGTACGTGTGTGTGTGAGGGCAGATTTATATAAATTAATCAACAGTGGCCACAAGTTTGTGGTGCAGCTTAATTCCTGGAGCATCTCATAATCCAGAGATTATGGTAAGACATGTGCATATTATAGCCAGTCAATAGTGGACAGTCCATGGACAGAATAGCCCCTAACCATAGAAATCTGGAATTTCCAGGCACTGATGGAGATGAGCACTGCTCGACTGAGCATGTACACCCTTTGGCATTGAAAATAAAGCACAGCAATGGCTGTTGCACATTCTTTCAGCTGTCCTACTCCGTCCAATGGACTATCCAACATGAGGCAAAATAGTCGAGACTGGAGGCAGCCAAGCCGGAGCATTGTTCCTAAGCTCGCGTTGTCCCAAGAGAAGCTGGAGCTTGCACGTGGCTACGGGAAATAGAAGCAACTGCACGCGTGCGTGTGTTTGTTTGTTTGGGATCTATTCACAGTGGGTCACATTCATGGTGACACCAAGGGATTTGGCGAAGAGGACTTTGGGTGCATGGAGGTGTGTGTGCGCGTCTGCCTTTTTGACACGCTTTTATTTAACTCACTCTGTCTGTTGTTGTTGAAAATCTTGTAACTCAATTTTAACACACTTCCCAATGTGGTATCGACTGCAAACTTCGTATACTTATGTCATACTGATGACAATACTATATTCTATCATAAAAAAATTAAACAATCTTTTTACACGCTTTCTATTAACTCACTCTGTCTGTTATTGTCGTATCCTCAAATCTTGTAACTCAATTTAAACCCACTTCGCAATGTGCTATCGACTGCAAACTTGGTATACTTATGTCATACTGATGACAATACTATATTCTATCATTAAAAATTAAGAATAAAATTTTAAACCATATTTTTTATATGTTATGTTTCGGCTTGGGTCTAATTGTCCATGCTCAACTGACGTTGGCTGTAAATCACCACAGTTCCTTACGTTATGGCAAGCTTCCTGGGCCACTTCCTGGAGTCGTGGAGTTTTGCCATTACGAGTACGGTACATTTCATTAAATCGTGTTTAAAAAAAAGTATTTTTAAATATTACTTATTTTTGCTTTTTTTTAACCTAATCCAAGAGATGATTTGTGCATTTGGAACATTCACGCAGCACTGCAATGTGTCCATTTTATAAAACGGCTCGTGGAAAGAGATATCACTGAACTAATTCTGAAAGTACTTCAAGTGACCTCCTATCCACTCTGAGGAGCACACTTTATTACATTCCTCGCTAAATATAAAAGTTTGTTTCAAGAACAGTCAAAACTAACTTTTCCAGTCTGAAAGCTGCAATAAGCCACGTGAAGCACAGAACGAAATATAATATGATGGGCTCTTTTTGTTGTTCATGCACAGTTATTGGTGACTGCCCGAAGATCATCCACTCGCTCTGCTTGAGAACCCAGTTTAATCATGGATGACTGAAACCCAGGACTCAAACCCAGGATTCCAGCAGTGCTGGCTCAGTGCTCTGTTTCCTGAGCCACCTGGCTACCCCCTTGGCTCCACTGACTCTGAATACCATCATCTCTGCGAATGCTCCTGAACAATGAGGTAAACATGATTGTAGCCAATTACAATTCTGCTGCCTCCAGAATTCTTGCGCTAATGCATGATCGTCAAAATAAAAAAAAGTCCAAGCATCCCCCTGCTCAGATGAGAAAAGGGTGGCCACATTTCGCTGTTTCCACCCATGATTCAGTTTTGGTAATTCCACATTCCTATGACAGAGTACAATCATTCCATAAGACAAACTATTTACTGCCCACAATGTGGTACTGAATCTAGAAACCGAAAAGAGATGGTGGCAGAGTCAAGCTTTTAATTGTGAGTCAAATTCCCCGCTGCAGTGCGACCCAGCAATAGAATAATTTTAACAACACATTTCATCATAATATTCACACGTGCGCCGTCCAAGCCAACTCATGTGGGTGACGAGCCTTGTGTCACCTGCAACACACTGTATTCAGAGGAACAAACATTTAACTTCTTAAAAGTGTGTAAAAAAATGTGAACATTTAGAAGACTTGGCCAGTGGTAGACATTGTACTGTGTCACATGCATTCCATAACGGTGATTTTTTTTCAGCTTGTGACATCAGAACGTTATTTAAACAATAACTTGTCCTCAGGGCTAGAAAAAAAACCTTTCTTTCAATGGCATAATAACATCTAAACTCTAATATAGTTAGGCACTGAGACCTGAAAATACCTTGGATATTAAATTCTAAATAGATTTTTCCAATA